GTTAGCAACTGGACAAATTGAATGCAGCGGTCGAGGAAAAGCGACCAGAATTGGTCGATCGTAAAGGTGTCATTTTCCAGCAGGACAATGCTAGGCCGCACACGTCTTTGTCCACTCGGCAAAAATTGATGGATATTGGTTGGGAATCGATGTTACACCCACCGTATAGCCCCGATCTCGCGCCATCGGATTACCACTTATTTCGATCCCTGAACAACTCCCTTCGTGGTAAAACTTTTAACGATGATGACGCTGTAAAATCTCACTTAACTCAGTTTTTGCCCGAAAAGGTTCAGACTTTCTACGAGCGTGGAATTTTCAAGTTGTCGGAGAGATGGCAAAAGGTCATCGAACAGAATGGAAAATACATTACAGATTAAACTTCGTTCCAAGTAAAAAAAAATTTGTTATTTCGTTGAACAAATCGGNAAGTTGTCGGAGAGATGGCAAAAGGTCATCGAACAGAATGGAAAATACATTACAGATTAAACTTCGTTCCAAGTAAAAAAAAATTTGTTATTTCGTTGAACAAATCGGCAATTACTTAGTTGCCAACCCAATATAATCCGACCAAAAACACTTTTACCGATTTCATCGTTATCTAAATGAAACATTTTAATATCTTTTTTCTAAACATAGAACGTTCTTAATATGGGACCCTGCGTTGTTTAGAAAGAACCCGAGAATTCAGAAGAGGAGCAAACTAGCAAGAAGGATTGCTGGACTGTGGACGAAAGCGAATAAACTAATAAAATATACACTAATAGTGTCAAATTATAAGAGTTAGTTGACATATTTGGTTTACACTCATCATAAACATATCACAAATAATACGATCATCAAGTAAGTAATTATCAATAGGGTAATTTCTCCCTAATTCGCGCTTAGATTGCGCACAAAAATGTACAATTTGGGAAGAGGAGATACGATTATTCGAGGCTCGCGATTCATTTTTTATAATTACCGATTGTGAATAACTATAAAAATGAGACACAAGCCCCGAATAATCGTATTTCCTGTTCCCAAGGAGAGAAGAGGAGATACTTCCCCATTTTCCAGCGCAAATTGAGCGCGAATTAGCGCTCAATGAATGAGCGCGAATGAGCGCAGAGAAATTACTATACAGGGAGAAACGTAACACGCAACAATTACGGTGAAGTTTGAAAAGTAACTAGTTATCTGATAAGAGATCATTAGGCATCTTAAATTATTCACGTCTGCATAGAATACATAACTGCGAAATAGGAGAAAGACGCCCTGATAAGCTGCAAAGGAAAAGTAATTTTCTAGAATCATACCGAACGAAAATCAAAAAACTGAACATTACAAGTACAAATGGTGTTATATTACCGAACTAAATCCTTCGAAATTTGTTGGATACAGACCCCAAAGGACAACGGTATAAGTCTTCGTGCAATGCTGTATAAAGAACAGTAATAACTTTTGTGTCCGCTCTGACGCAGTGTACCATCGGGAGTTATGTCTAGAAAAGACGAGGAGTATTGAATATGCCATTCGACTGTTACCGCACAAGATCGAACATTAAGGCAACTGAAAGCATTAGAGTGCAGATTTTATTTGTGTATCCCATGTGCAAGCTTGTAAAATACAACCTGAATAGTAGGAAGTACTAATTGTGTTCGTTATTCTGTTTCTCTTTTTCTTTAAATATTCATACAATAGTTAATAATAATGATTCTCATTTCAAGAGCACAATGTACTTACAGTTCCGTGAAAACGTTGGAACTACTATCCGTGACTATTTGTCCTAAGTAATTCGCCATAAATAGGTACACTATGTGAACGGATATTGATAACATTTGTATCCATATCTCTTCGAATTTCCATTGGCCCCGAAGTGACTGAGACATCTGTATATTGAAAACGAGAGTTTCAATTAATTATTATGTCAGTTAATTAATTTCAGTACACATTCTACACTTTGTGATAGCATAAACTCGATCAGTTTTATTCGGTATTCTTTTTGTGAAAAACTGGATTCATTGGTACAGTAAATTCTCCCTGATTGATCCTCAGCTTGGGAACAAAAATGGACTATGTATTCGAGGAAAGGAATGCAAATAAGTATAGTTCCCACAGTGTTTTGCAGCTCTGGAATACCTAGTTGTCACCGATAACATTTACGCTAAAAAACACCTGCCTACTTATACTTACACGTAGAAGATTCAAAGTGAAAGACGTTACTCCCAGGATCATCAGTACGACATACGAGGTAGTAAGACAATTTGCATATAGTTTTACGAATCTATAAAAGATATTGGAAGCAAAGCTTTTTAAATAACATATTTTGATAGAATGGATCGGCAATGTAATATTTAATACAAACTTCATCGTTTCTTTGTGCAGCTTCGTTGCGCTGATTAGTTTATCTGCCACTAATTTACTTTTTTCGAAGTCAGAAATCCCCGATGGTTGGATGAACGCGGTTTTAATACGGAAACTGTTATACATGGGTAACAGTACCGGTGGTTATTGATGGTCCGTTATGGGAGAACAGATGATAAATGTATACATCACCGTATATACTTGTTTTCTAATGCTCCTTACCAAACAATCTGAAATAATATGCGCGCATGTTGGCTGAAAACATGCGTTACCACTTCAGGTCCTACAAGCCCTGTTATTCCGAGTATTATAAATGTAGGGAGATATAAGAGGCTGATGTAATCAAATTTGGAATCATCGGTAAAATAATAGAATTTTATGCGATCTACGGACTTATCGTTCCCGCTCAGCAGAAATTGATAGAACATGATGCCAAAGGCTCCCACGTAAACGCAACCTGCAACGACGTAGATTTGATTAGATTAAATTATACGGAATTATGCTGTTTCTTAATCGATTCTATGTACGTCGTGTGTAATTAACACGTTGTGTGCCGCGTAGGTCGAAAAATGGGTGACACAATCTTTCTAATAATTTCCGAAATTCCAGAAAAACTGTATTTTACTAGGAAGTTAAGAACGTAATAGAGTCGAAACACCATGCACCGTGATAAATTAAAAGCAGTTTCGTTAATTAAATTACTTTGAATTCGGGAAAATTGTTGGGACTCATTTTCGTCACTCGCAGTGTTAAGATTCTATAAAGTACCATAAAATTCTCATGTCCATTTGTGTGCTCTAACGTAATTTTCACGTGATGCTTATATTAAGGATCGAGTTAACTGAAAAACGGATCGGTAAAAATATAGGAAATAGCAATTCTTACCTGCAAAAACAGATGTCATAACGTTCGTGAATGCAATGCCTTGAAAAATAATGTTTCGTTCATTGTCGTCAGTGATGGACGTTCTATGGTATAAAATTCTATCAAATAGCGTTCGCAACTATAAGAATAGCAATACACCGGATAATAATTAAAACAAACACAACGATAACGGTCGAACGTAGATTTATAGACGCGGAATCAGATGAAAACAAGATTATCAAACTGCAATCGTGTCTGAAGTAAGTTTAAAATTGTTCCAACTTACCACCTTCATTTTATATAGAAAAGAAGTGTATTTAAAAATGAACATAACGGAGAATATTACGTGTGTAAGAAAAGCTATAACAACGTTCAGAGTGTAGTCGGCATTGTGGAAAAACGCTGCCACCTGAAATCAATAATACGGAACTATACAAATCAATGTTTCTTTTTCCATATGTTCAGTTCTAAAATAACACTGTCCAACAAATTTTGTTAGTTCACTGTAATATAAAGTTTCCTTGCGTTCAATGCGAATCAAACAGGGTTTTTCGACATCACCCCTGGTTTTGAGAAATTCAATTCTGGAAAAGAACTAATAATGCGAACCAAAATTGCACGTACGAACGTGAAAAACTTGACTTAATCGGCCAGAGTGTCGCCACTGAACTTTAAATACCAATGATAATTTACTTGCAACGTCCGTAAACATTGCTTAAGCATGTTAAAGTATCTGTAAAGCGGAACAGTTTCCCAAATTTGAAAATTCAAGTTTTGGACGATGACTTTCGGGTCGATGTTCGACGCATACTAAAGAATTTCTATGGAGAAATTGTCTATCGGTTATCGAAACACGCAGTTGCGTTGGACAATACAATTACTATCAATATCGAATGACCCTCATTCTCAGAGAACAATACCAGAAACACTATCGCCAATGTTAATATCAAAATATGCACTGCTCTTTTCAGATAGATGAACCATGTGTTGTCGTACGGCCACAGTCCAACAGTCGACAGAAGAACTTTGATCAGTTTATGGTGGTCGCTAATATCGGTCATCACTGCTCAGAAGCTAGGCACCGTCTAACCTCGCAGAGAGGCAAATTTTCTCGCGACCTTCCATCGTAATGTTCCCTCACCTCGGCGTACAATTTTTTCGTATCGCGTCATTTGAATAAATAAGGAAGCAAAATATCACAGAATGTGTCAAGGGGAAGGGCAATCTTGAAATCGCCCACAATTGAGCGCTATGATTACAGGTTGAGGTTTATCGATCGATTCGCGACACTACATTGTCCCCGTTGCTACAGTGTCTCCCTTCTTTGTTTAAGTCGAAACTTACATCGCTGCTCGCACGCGACATTGTCCGCGCAATACTGACTGCTTTTTTCCCACCATTATGGGTGCGCGATATCGCCAGTTTCCCTTCTTCATTTTCCCGTTTTTTACAATCGGGAAATCGAGCGACCATCTCCGTCGCCGTTCACTCGCTCGCGAACCTCTAGCCGCGCAACGTGCAACAAGTTGGTCCGAATAGTTGCGCGCATACTCTCATACTCGTGATCGTTTTAAAATGTACTCACTGTGTGAATTAATCGAGCAGTAGCCATATGTGTTGTTTCAACGCGTTCGCTACCAGCGTCGAACACGTGCGATGATCGAGAGTTTGCGTACACGTAAAGATAATCAAATTATTTTTGTGTACGTTGTTGCATGTGAGTAAATGTCGCTACATAGTCTGCAGAGAATTAGTAACTTCCCAATGGGAATGTCCTGTGTATATTTTGTATGTGCCATCACATTGGAATCGAATCAGTAAATCTTATTAAAATCGCGTACACGAGATCTTTGGTGCAGCTGTTGCTAAAGGAGTTATTTGGAATTTGATTTAACGTATAACATGCACAAGCATGCTTTATAGAAGTTTATGGTGCCACAACCATTCGAATTATTTGTGTTACTGGATCGTACATTTACTTTAAAGCTGCTGCTGCGATCCGAAAAAAATCTGCTTACGTGTATATTAAAACTTACGCATTAAACGATAGAAAATCTATAAGTAAAGTGGAATGTCATTGACACAAACGTAATTTTGTCTGTTATTAATATCGTGTGGTATTACTATTTTGACAACTAAATACAGGGAAAGACGTAACACGCAATAATTACGGAGAAGCTTGTACAGTAATTAGTTATCTGTTAAGAGACCTTTAGATGTCTTAAATTAGTCATGTCTGCGTAGAATACATAACTGTGAAATAGGAGAAAGACGCCCTGACAAGCTGCAAAGGAAAAGTAATTTAGTAGAATCATACCGAACGCGAAAATCAAAGCTGAACTTTACAAGTACAAATGATGTCGTATTACCGCACTAAATCTTCCTAAATTTACTGTATACAGACCCAAAAGTAGAATGGTATACGTTTTCGTGCAATTTAGCGTAAAGAACAGTAACAATTTTTGTGTCCGCACTGACGCAGTGTACCATCGGGAGTTATGTCTAGAAAAGACGAGGAGTATTGAATATGCCATTCGACTGTTACCGCACAAGATCGAACATTAAGGCAACTGCAAGCATTAGAGTGCAGATTTTATTTGTGTGTCCCATGTGCAAGCTTGTAAAATACAACCTAAATAGTAGGAAGTACTAATTGTGTTCGTTATTCTGTTTCTCTTTTTCTTTAAATATTCATACAATAGTTAATAATAATGATTCTCATTTCAAGAGCACAATGTACTTACAGTTCCGTGAAAACGTTGGAACTACTATCCGTGACTATTTGTCCCAAGTAACTCGCCATACATAGATACACTATGTGAATGGATAGCATTATCATTTGTACCAATATCTCTCCGAATTTCCACTGACCCCGAAGTGACTGAGACATCTGTATATTGAAAACGAGAGTTTCAATTAATTATTATGTCAGTTAATTAATTTCAGTACACATTCTACACTTTGTGATAGCATAAACTCGATCAGTTTTATTCGCCTTTACGAAAAGATGGTTACATTGGTGCAGTAAAATCTCCTTAATTGACCCTGAACATAGAAACAAAAATGGAGGATTTGGGAAAACAAAGTACGATTATTCGGTAACTGTCGATAACTATAAAAACGTGACGAAAGGCTCGAATAATCGTATCTCCTCCTCCCAAATAGTCCATTTTTGTGTAGAAGCTGAGGGTCAATTGTGGAGCATTTACTGTAATTACAATATAAGCGCCCTTTTTCATCGGAAAAACTATAAATGACAAAACAACTGTTAATTATATGTTCTGAACTTTTACATTGACTCATCACTAAGTGCCCAAGATTGCATAATATTTCTATTTCCAACACAATTTATTTTTGTTACAACATAATAGATTTATGTGTGCCAACCGTTCGCAACATAATGAGTTATCATAACATGTTAATTAAGATGACGCTAGAGCGTTGCCTGTGCCGACACAAGGAAGACAGAAGTCAGCTGCCTTGACACTGTGACGACAAATCGGACCGGCTAATCGTCTAGATCAGTGATCCGAATGCTTCGGAATGCAACATTAGACTCCGCCTCCTGACTCCCACCGCAGAGCCTAGCTCCGCGTGACGCGCTGCCGATGGAATCAATGCGGGGAGCAAGGCGCTGCGACGGTAGTCAGGAGGCGGAGCCTACTGTCGTCTACCGAAGCATTCGAAGCACTGACCCGGATTCTGGGACCTCTAGGGCATAGAAAATGCAAAGCGAAATCGCGGATACAAAGCGAATAGCGTTTACGCTTCGGAATCAATTGCCAGCTGATTTTTCGCGACCTGCGCTACTCGCATAAGCGCATCGTCAATCTGGCGATCTGAACGTATGGAAGAAGTATCGTACGATAATGGAAGAACGAAAAGTCCCCACAGTTCTCTGCAGCTGTGGCACACTTGTCCACTTATACTTACACGTAGAAGATTCAAAGTGAGAGATATTGTTCCCAGCAACATCAATATGGCATACGAAGTAGTAAGACAATTTGCAGCCTGTTTCGCGAATCTATAAAAGGTATTATGAGACG